GAGCACAGAAATACGACCGGTGCCAGAAGGGGGGTGGAAAACAGGCGCAAAAGCATGAATTTGGGGGGGTGGGGGGGCACAGTGACAGCCAGACCCACGGGGGGACCACAATCAGCACCAACAGGTGCCACAACTGTGGCCACAGAGAGACCCTCACCCCAGGCACAGCTGGGTGCCGCACGGGAAGGGACACAGCAGAGGAAGGGGTTGGTGCTGTGGGCAGAGGGGCTCCCTGTGGCCCCCCCCGCCCGGTGCTGCCAGCCCAGCGCATCGCCGTCCCCATCACCACGCAAAGGGTGCACCGAGCCCTGAGTAATGCGCGGGGCGCCGAGGGGAGCGACGGGGGGGGAGGAGGAGGAAAGCAAAGGGAAAAACAGAGCCCGGCAGCACCGCAGCCCGGTGGGGGGCGAGGGGGGGGGGACACGGGCGCGCTGCCGGCCGGGGGTGGCGGTGCCAGCAGCCACCAGGCATTGTTGGCACATTGCCTCGGCCACCCAGACAAAGGGCGGCTGTGCTGCGTGAGTGGCACCGAGCTGCCAGCACTTGGGGAGCCAGCAGCTCCACGGCTGTCACGGCTGTCAGCCCAAGGCAGGGCTGGAAATGATGGGAGGGGGGTTGGAAATGTGGCAGGGGGGCCGTGTCGTCGCTTGGGAGCTGAGCATGGAGCGTGGGAAATGCAGTGTGGGATGGCCCCGTGCAGCTGTGAGCACAGTGGGGTGGGGAGCTTCACCCAGAGCCAGGCCCACCGCTGTCCCCTTCCTTGGGTGGGGGCACCCGGGGGCTCTTCCCTCTGCATTCCCAACCCCAACGAAGTGATGTGGGGCTGCTCTCTGAGCTCACGTCAGCACCCAGGGGCTCCTCCAGCCCAATGCTGGACGTGCAGCATAGACTGCTCAGCTGTCAGCCTTAGGAGGAGCTCGGCGGGATGCTGACACAAACTGGGGGGGAGGTCGGTGGGGACATGAAGGGAGCGAGGATGGAGCAGGCAAACTCACCACGCCGCCCTTATCGCCCTCCATGAACTGCACGATCTGGCAGGAGGACTTCTCCCACAGGAAGATGTGGCCACAGTCGCTGCCGCTCACCACAAATTCGCTTTTTGGGCCGTAAAAATTGACACCTTTCACTGCAAAGGAACAGAAAGGAGCGGGGTGAGGCCCCGCAGAGCCGGGCAGCCCTCCCTGCACCCCTCCACTCCCCTCCCGGCAGCCAGCGAGTTTCCAAGGTTACCGGCGCAGATCTCTTCCGTCCCCAGACACATAATGGCTCATTCTTCATGAGCCCACGACTTTAGGAGTCTTGGAAAGGAGAGATGGGACGTTCAGAGCCTCCCGATGGGCTCACGGGGAGCTGTCACCCCACTGCAAGGATAGAACCCCCCCAAGCCCTAACCTGGCCTCCAGCCTGACCCCACCCCAGCCCCAGCCTGCTCTGCAGCCCCAGCCTGACCCCAAGCCTGAGCCCCCAGCCCCAGCCAGGCCCCCCCAGCCCGACCCCCTTCAGCTCCCAGCCTGACCCCTAGCCTAATTCCCCCCAGCCCCAACCTGACTGCCCCAGCTTCAGCCTGACCTCCCCCAGCCCCAACCTGATCCCCCCAACTTCAGCTTGACCTCCCCCAACCCAATCCCCTAACTTCAGCCTGTCCCCCTCCCAGCCCCAGCCTGAAGCCCCCAGCCAGCGCCCCAACTCCAGCCTGATCCCCCAGCCCCACCCCACGTGCAGAACATCCCCCCCCACTCACCGGTGGCGTTGTTGCGGTGCCCTTTGTATCTCTTGATGTACTCAGCGCCGTCGCTGTGCGAGGAGTTGAAGAGATAGATGTCCTCATCGTTGTAACTGGCCAGCAGCTCTGCAGGGGGATGGCAGAAAAGTGAGGGCTGGGATGGCCTCCCCAAATTCCCCCGAGTGCTGCGGGGGGCCTGGGACTCACCAGAGCCATCGTGGCTGTACACCAGGCAGGTGATGTTTGCTTTGGACTCGCTGTTTACCTAAAGGGAAAGCACAGAGCTCAGCCTGCTCCTCCCCTGCCAGGACCCGGCACACCCACACCAGCCACATGCTCACTGATGTCGAAGACAGAGCACGAGTCTCTGTGCCTTCCCAAGCAAAGCACAGACAGGGGAAAATTTGGGTCAAATTAGGGAAAAAAAAAGAGAGCACTGGGCTGCTGGTTCAGCTGCTGGTCCAGGTGCTTCCTAGGCAGGAAGCACGTGAGGGGCTCGGGCAGCAGGGAGCTCACCAGGTGGTGGGGGCAGAACTTCTTCAGCACGCCGTTGTTCTCATTCTCGTCGATCTTCCGCTGGTCGTAGATCCTGGGGGGAGGAAGGATGTGTGGCTCTCACCCCAAACACAGGCAGTGCTCCGAGGGCCACGAGGGCCAAACGGGGCGGCTCAGCCCCGACCAGGCGATGTCACGTCGGACACCGCAGCCCTCACTGATGCTCTGCAGAGCCATGAGCGGATAGGAGAGGCAGAAACTGCAGCCCAAGCAGCTCAGTGTCACCTCTCATTACGTTGCAGCAGCTGCTCGGCAGTGCATGGCAATGTCAATGGCTGTGAGCACGCAGGCCGCAACTCGGGCTCAGGGGATGTGACTGTCAGCACACCATTCTGCACCCCATGGGAGCTGTTAACCTCTCTGTTCCTCCCTGGCTCCTGGAGGAGGGACGGGGTCGGGATGGGGCACGGGGACGGCCGCCGAAAAAGGCAGCAGATGGAGCAGGGGGAGGAGGAGGGGCTGCTCATTGAGAGCTCTCCCGGAAGGCGCTGCGCTGCTGCTCTGCTCACAGTCTGCTGAGCTCACGTGGGAAGGCTGGCGATGCCGCCGGCACAGAGCAGCGCACCCGGACGCGTCCTCAGGGTGCTGAGTAGCACCTCTGTGCAGCCGCAGATCTGCTGCCAGCTGCACTCTGCACATCCAGGGCTCAGCATCCTCCCTCCCAACAAAGGCAGCGAGCGGATACTTGGCGAAGGATGGTGAAGAGGAATGGGGGGGATGAGCAGCCCTGCTAACTGCACCACCTGCTGTGGTGGAGCTGCTCACATGGAGGCACAACCTTGGTCCAAAGCAGAGAGAGAGACTGTGCCTGAAAACAAAGCCCTGAGTGCCTCTAAGGGCAGTGCATCGGGGGGACGATGGCAAGAGGGGAGAGCAGCTCGGATCCCAGCAGCTGCCGATGGGTAGAGGATGGCACACAGTGCAGGAGAGGCAGCCATGGGGAAGGGGACGGAGCAGTCAGTGCTGTGGGGTCGTCCCAGTGCTGCACAGTACATGGGCGCAGGGAAATTTTAATTGCTGCAGCAGGGGAAGGGAGGGGGGCTGGGATTAGGGAGCCCAGCCTCACTGAAACAAAGACCTTCCCTGAGCTCAATCTCAGCTCCAAGGCGCACCAGGCCTGGCCCGGCAGCTGAGGACTGAGAGAAGATGGCTCAGAAGCTCGTTAAGGCTAAGAGAATCACTGCCTCCGGGGGAAGGGAGAGCAGGGCTTGGCAGCAGATCCCAGTGCTAAACCTCCACGGATCCAAATCCCTCTCTATTAATCCTGCTGGTCTTCGTGCTGCTTACAGGAGAGCGGGCTTTGCAGGCATTAAGGACTGCAGTGCTGCTGGGGGGGCACCCACTCACCTCACAAACTGATCTCTGCCTCCCACAGCAAACTGGTAGGTGTTGGCTGGGTTCACGAAGATGGTGTACAGCCCCACCTTCTTCTCCTTTTCCTTTGTCACCACCAGTTTCCTTTAAGAGACAGGGAATAACAGCAACAACAACCAACAAAAAAATCCACCTTGGATTCCAAACAGGGCCCAGATGGGAAACACAGGAGCGGCGTGAGCTCTTACTCACACTCAGACAAAAAACACACGCACACACAAAACCTCCCAACCACCGCAGCTTCCAAACCGAGCTCTGACTGTGAGTCAAACAGCGCAGTGAAATCATCCCCTGGCGTCGGCCTCCAAAAGCATCCGAAGGGTTTCACGGCCCAGCAGAGCCGGGCCGGCAGCAGCGAGAGCGGAATCAGATTAACTCCAAAGCCAAAACCCTCTGCTGTTGTTTCTCCCCACCCGTCTCGCTGTAACGAGGCCCAGATTGAGCGGAATCTGACACACTGCCTCCCTTCCCCTCCCCCTCCCCCCCCCAGGAGCTGGGGAAAATATTTCAGCACACAAACCCAGGCAGCATCCTGGGGAGGGAACAGCAAGCTGCAAAGCTGCTCTTGTCCTGGTTATGAAACAGATGCGTTCGGGGCTGCAGACAAAAGCCCTCATGCACAGAAATAAAAGCGGAGCTCCAGGAGCTGAGCTGTGAAGCTCTGTGCTCTAAGCAGGATCATCTCTGGAATAATGCTGTGCTGTGCTGGAGAAGCGCCCCGAGTCCAAACCCAGACAGCCGCTCTGATTTGGAGGGTTGTCAGAAATGGGCAAACTCTCTGTCCTTCATTATTGGTTTTTGATTAATTGGAATAGCACTCACGTGATGAGTGAGGTGGGGACAGAGCGAGTTGCCAGCACAGAGGGGCTCATGGGGACACACAGCAGCAGCACTGCTGCTCCCTACCTGCGCTCCGCACTGGTGGAGGACAAGGTTTAATTGCGGACTAATTAATGAGGCTTGTAGCCACACTGATACCAAACCCACGTGGGGTCCCAACGCTGCTCCTCCTAAGCAGCAGAATCTCTCTGATCACCTCCCAGTGCCCCTTAGGGAACACAGTGCTGTCACAACCCCAAAATACCATTTGTCCAGCAGGAAAGCGGTGACCCGACACACTGATATGGTGGTTATGGAGCAGAGAACCTCACCCCCCGGCCCAGATCCCACAGATCCCCAGCTGCAGCAGGAGGGGGATACTCACGAGGCAGGCCGGTCTTGTCGCAGATCAATGGTGAAGACGACAGCATCTTCACCTGCTGATAGGAAAGTGCATGGGGAATCCGGTTCTAGGGCCAGCTGTAAGATAAATACTCGGGCATTGGTTCCCTTTTCACCCAACAACGCGCTAAGATCCCTTTCTCCCCATTACCCACCCATAACCCACCCACATCCCTGCACCCTCGACGCCCCACGGCTGCGTGCTGCTCCGCCAGGCAGCACACTGAGGTCCTCCTCAGCCCCCTGTGCCCTCGGCCCACAGAGGTAAGGGCAGTTATGAGGGCTCACCTTGTGAGAAGCTCCCTTGTGCTGTGCCACACGCTTGGTGCTCCTGCAGCACTGCGTGGCCGAGAGCTCAGCCACCCGCACCTGCCCGTCCCGAGCACACATGGCCAGCGTGGAGTCACCGCTGTTGGGGAGGAACTTGGCCTGGAAGAGAGGAAGCAGAGGGTGAGGGCTCATGGCTGAGTCTAAAGAGGAAAGAGGATCTGACCCTCCGTCTCATTTCTAGAGACACAGATACAGCTGGAGGGTTGAGAAACCACCCCAGCTCTTTTCGGAGAACCCGGAGGAGACACGGGAAGGATCACGGTCCCGGCATCCCACGGCGAGGCCGGCTGTCCGGGCCCCCTCTGGCGGCGGCACAGCCGTGGCACAGCTCAGCACCATCGGAATGCTGCTCCTCCCAGACCGGGCTCTGAGCAACAGCAGCAGCACCGGGTGGGGGCTCTGGGCAGAGCAGCAAAGCAGGACGCGCGCCCCCCGACCCAAGTTTGGAGCCGCTCGAGTTCTGGTAGTCGGCACAGCCACCGCATCGTCCCAGCTTTGAGGAAAGCCCCTTCTCCCGCTCCGTGCAGCACCAGGCAGGCAAATCACACCCCTTATCCCATGGGTGGGACACCGTACCCACAGAGACCAGAGCAGGAGCTCCTCACCTGGAAGACGTTGCTCTTGTGGCCGCTCTCAAACTCCAGCACCGGCCGCCTCCGCACCCAGTCCCACACCACCACTTTGAGGTCGTCGCTGCCGCTGGCCAGCCACGTGCCTCTCTGGTTGAAGTGCAGCGTGTTAACGCAGCCCGTGTGGCCCTCCAGGCCGTGCTGCAGGCGGAAGCGCTGCACGAAGAGCCGGGCCCCGCAGGCCTCGTAGACAAAGCGGGGGCTGGAGCCCAGCTCCCTGTCCCGCAGGGCACGGATGGCCTGCCAGCGGGGCCGCGGCAGCGCCGTGGTCTCCGAGGACACCCAGTCCTCCAGCGCCTGCTCGTCGTCCGAGGAGTCTCGGTCGTGGTTGGCACGTTTGCGCTGAGCGCGGCGGTGGGATCGCTGCTCCTCCTCTTCCTCCTCTTCCTCCTCCTCCTCCGAGTGCGAGCAGTCGAGGGTGCGTGACTCCTCGTTGATGGAGTAGTGGCCCGTGTCGTCCATGCTGTCAGAGTCCTTCTCCTCCCCTGAGCTCTCGGTGTCGGTGTCACGGCTCTCTGTGCTGGTGCGGTTGGGCCCCACGTCGTCTCCAGTGAGGCTCAGGCTGAGGTCGGATGCCTCCACCTCGATGCCGGAAGAAATTTCTCTGCCCTCCTCGGCTGACATCTCCTCTGGGCTGCTGGACAGGCTGCCTGCACCACACAGACATTGCTGTGAGCTCCCAGCGGGACACGGCGCTCCGAGACCTCCCGGCCCACCTGCTCTTTCCACGCCATCCATCCCCTGCATGATGGCAGAGGAGCAAAGCACGTGTCCCTCTGACAAAGAGCTGAGGCGGTGGGAGCGAACCCTGGCTTCTCCAGCCTCTGCTCTGCCCCCAGTGCCAGCCTGCAGCACTGGACCCCATCCAGGCTCGGTCCCTCTTTCTGTCTCCCCCAACTCCATCTCCCCCCCAGTGCTCCCCAAGTTGATCTCCTGGGGCTGAGCTTCCCCTGCCTTCACCATTCGCGATGTCCGTCTTTCCGTCCATGCTGCTCCCCTTATCCGACATCTCCTTTCCCGCTGTGTGCTTCCCCTGAAGGCAAGAGAGGGAGAGAACAGGAGCTGGAGCGGCCCCGCCGTGGGGACCACGCTGTCCTAAAAGACAAAGGAACACAGTGAGTGCCCTCAGCACACCCCATGGCTCCACCACCCCAAATCCCCTGTGAAGCCCACCTGCTCTCCTCCAGCGATGGACTCTGACCCTGCACACCCCCCAGGATAGCCCAGTGCCCCGTGCTGCTCCCCCAACACCTGGAGCACGAGGAGTGCTGGGCCCCCCCTCCATCTCAGCACCTGCAGCCCACAAGCTGCTCCAGGGGAATTTTTAAGGTTTTGAAGCCCCTCCCCACACACAACATTCTCCCCTCCCTCCCTAAGGTCCACCAAGGGGCCACCAGGGCCACCCGTTGAGAAAAAGAACCCATTTCTGCACAAGATGAAGCAGACACCACATCAAAAAGCAATGCTTCCCCACGAATGGGCACAGCACATCCCAACCCCACACCGAGTGCAGCCCAAAGCCAAAGCCTGGCCCAGACCCGGGGAAACACAGTGGGGAAACACAAGCAGAGCAGGTATAAGAAGGGAGAAAAACAAAAACATTTCAGGGATGTTTTGCTCACTCATTGCTCCCCTCCTGTTTTTAGGCCGAGCGCCTTCAGGCTCTCTCAGCTCCCCGTTTACAGAGAGGGCAAAGCCAAAGCTGGGCCATCATTAACTCTGATTACAAACAGCACTGAGATTAATCAGGAATTAACACCAGCCCCGGGCAGCAGCACAGACAAAGGCCAAATGCTCCAAGCCAACCACGCTCACTGTGGGGGTCCGGGGGAGGGCAGGCTCACCCTGAGCGCATCTGCTGGCACCAGGTCACAGCCCTGCCCCGAGGACCCCAACCCACAGCTCAGCCCTCTGGCCACAAGCGCTGCCTCTTCCAGAAAAAGCCCTGCGTGGCTCCATCAGATCAGGGATCCCACAGCTGCACACCCGCAGCTGGCAGAGCCTCAGTGCCCACAGAGGGAGTAGCGTTTGCACTTTGCTCCTCAGGAGGGGTCTTCCTCTGCCAAATCACCCTCTCTGATCTGTCATTCACAAAGGTGAGCAGCAATGAACTCGCATCCCAGAGGAAAGGAATCCAGAGTAATGAGACCGACTTCATGTCTCACCCACCCACACGAGGGGACAGAGCCTCACTTGGAAGGAAAGTGAGCTGACCACTGAGCTCCTGGTGGTGAGCAGCATGCTTGAGGACACTGCAGGAGGAGGAGCACAGCCACAGCTCTGCCATCTTCTTCATGTGGGGCTGTGAGAGTTATCACCCAGAGGCAGGTGCTCTGCATCGCTGGAGGAGCGCATCCCCACAGTCCCATGCCAGCTCTGCTTGCCATGAGACGCAATGCCAGCAGCTCCTTGGCACATGCAGACATTGCTGTGGGCTGGAAGGAGCCCCGACCCCATGGCATCATCGCAGGGAGATGAAAAGAAACCCTTGGGAAGCCCCCAAAGAGCTGGGGCTGCAGCTCACGGTGGTAACAGGGGTGGAAAGGAACGCAGCGTGTGGCCATGAGCTCTGTGGGAACAGCTCAGTGTGCTGCGTGCAGTGCGGAGCTGAGGCTGTTACCTGCCAGAGGCGCAGGGCTGCCAGGATGGCTACACCAGAACCGCGGCACCAAAGGTATTGCTTCCACCTCCCCAAGCGTGCAGCAATGCTTCAGGTGATCAACAGGACGCTGCTCGGCCCTGCTGGAGGTCACTCAGCCCCACAGCACGCCCCAAGCTGCCAAACGGGGCGCTCACTCCGATCCGGGCTGAGGGATGGGTGCCCATCAGCAGCCCCACACCAGCACCCCGTCCCACAGCCCAGCTCCCCTCCCAGGCACCGACATCTGGGTTCTGCGCTGCCCAAACGCTGCATCTGGACAGGATCAGCACTGAACGCCTCACATGCTCACAGCACCCCTGCGAGGGCCCTATAAATATCCCTCCGCATGCCACAGCCGCCTGGGTGCCTCGGCACCGAGCCGCCACCGCCTCCTGAGCTCATCCCCAGCGACAACAACGGACTCTCTGGGTGCGTTCCCTCCACACTGAGCTCACACACAGCCACCCATCCGCTCCAGCAGCTCGCACTGCTGCTGGCACAAATCAGCAACGGGCCACAGCAGCACCGAGCGGGCTGCGCTGGGCCGCAATCGGAGCGTTCACAGCCGCTCCATCCCCGAACAATTCCTCCCCGTGATATTTACACAGCTCTATAAACACCACACAGCCACACCGGGCAGCCCGGCTGTGTTTGGGATATACAAATAAGGAGCAACCAGACAAAAAAGAAAAAAAAAAAGAGAAAACAACCACAACCGAGAGCCCCTCGACCCCATTTCCAACCCACCCCCCCACCCTGAGCCGCAGCCTCGTGGCGTTGGCGCTGCCGGTGCTCCTGCACACGTGTTGTGCCGGGTTCCTTTCAGCCTCTTCTATTTAAGGAAAGTTCTCTCATCAGGGCCGGACGGCGGCAGCCCGCAGTGTGGGGCGGCTCTGGGGCCAGCAGGTAGCTCAGTCCCCACAGAAAGCCCCACCGACCCACAGCACCCACCCCAAATCCCTTCCGTGGGGTGGGGGGAGCCTCCGGTTGGCCAACGCTTGGGAAACCCCCCCCTCATGCTGAGAGATCTGGAGAGGTTTGGATAATTACAAAGCTCCCAGTCCCCGCTGGTGACTCTAATTAAGCAGCTTCCCACTCGCAGTTAAAGGGAGATCCACAATTCCCATGTCTCCCCCCAGATCAGAGCATTGTGAGCCCACAAGCACACTGACCCACAGCACCTCTATGGGGACGCAGCGTCTGCTCGTGGGGCTGTCCCACAGCAATACCCCACACCCAGGGCCCCGCCATCCTACAGACCCCCTCGTGTCCCTCCTAGCAATACCCCAGACCCAGGGTCCTACTGCCCCACAGACCCCCCTGTGCCCCCATATTTGCAGTCCCAGAGCAATATCCCATAGTTAGTGCCCTGCTGCCCCACAGGCCCCTTCTGTCCCCCTATTTGCTCTCCCACAGCAAAACCCCACAGCCAGTGCCCCACTATTTGCTGGGCGGGGAGGGGGGGTGGCTGAGCAAGGGAAATACGGGACAGTACAACTGTGTTCCTAATTAACTGCAGTTAATGAGCCCCTCAGCACCCTGCATCTCCCCTTTCCCATCTGGAGACCATGAGGACAGGGGCTCCACCTCACTAAGAGGAACTGGGGCCAGGGGAGGTGGGCCAACCCCAAAAACAGGGAAACCCCCACATATGAGGAGCCAGGAGCTCCCTGCCATGAGCTGACACCAGGAATCCGGTGTCACAACAGAGATCAGCACCAACACAGCCCCAAAAATCAATGCAAGGGAAGGAAGGACAGATGGACAGACGGACTCAAGGAGTACAACTTGCCCATTGCAAACAGCCCCTCCAGTAAGCTCCCATCTCCCAGTTTGGAGCCTTTACTGGGAGGCACTGCCCCACTCACCTGCAAGCAGCGGCAGAGCTCTGCTGGCAGAGGAAAGGTGAAGGCCTGGCAGGGTCGGGAACCAGGGACAGCCGTCCCAGCACCACAGCGCCACAGGGACAACAGTGACAATCCTGGAAAGGAGGGGGTGACAAAGCCACACAGCAGATAAAGGTTGGACACAGGGGTAGGGGGGAGCCCCAGTAGCCCCTCGATGGAATGATGGCGTTCTGGGGGTGGAAGGGACCCCCACTGTCACCCCCCCCCAAGGGCTGAGGACCTTTGGGTTTACAGAAATAGGATCTGGGTGCAACAGAGAAAATAGCCCCACACAAAGGGTCCTGTCTTGGCGACGCAAGGACCCCTGTAATATTTCCCATAAAGGAGAAAGGACACCCTCTCTCCCCTTCCCCAGACCCCTGGAGTTCTCAAATAGGGTTGGAGGATCCCCATGGAACAGCACAGATGCCCTCAGCTTCCCCCAAAACAGGCACTGACACTCAATGGGTAGCAGGGACCTCACTCTCCCTCCCAAAACTCTCAAAAGGCACTATGTCCCACGGGGGGGGGGCACAGAGGAATCTGGGGGGAGCAGGGATTCCTTTCTGTTCCCACCAAAAGCACTCTGACCCCCTCCCCAGGAAAAGCAGGGACACTTCCTACAGAGGGGGTGACCCCTTAGGAGGAGCAAGGTGCCCATCCTCCTCCCCAGCGCTTCCCCAGAAGGTGCAGGGCACCCCTGGGCAGGGTAGCAAGGAGTCCCTGCATAGAGCACCCCAGAGGCATCATGTACCCACATGGAGAAGCAAGGATCCCCATTTTGTGCCCCCCCACCAAAGGCACAGCAACTCCCGAGGGACATGGCGATGACCATGGACCCCAACCTGAAAGGGACAACGTTCCCACAGGGGTAGCAGGGACCCTTCCCAAAGAGAAAGCACACCCGGGGAGTGGGGGGGAAGGCAGGCAGCAGGGGGGACTGCCTCCTCCGTACCCCTCTCAAGGCACAGTGAGTCCCTGGGAAGAGCAGGGACTCCCCCCAAACGGGGAACAGCCCCATGGGGAGCGACAGGGACCCCTTCTGCACCCACCCCAGAAGAGCAGTGACCCCCGAGGGGCACCACGTACCCCCTCACCCCAACCAAAGAAGGGGGAAACCCCCAGGGAACAGCACGGATTCCCCTCTCAAAAGGGCAACGGCCCCGCGGGGGGAACAGGAATCCCATTTGTGCCCCCCAAAAAGAGCAATATCCTCCGAGAGACACCGGGGACCCCCCCCGAATAACAGGGACCCCCCCGAGAAGAGCAGGGATCCCCTTCATAAGGGTAACGGCCACACGCAGAGCACAGGGACTCCTTCTGCACCCCCCCAAATTGGCAGCGACCCCAGAGGGGCCCCCCAGGGTCAGACGGTCCCCTCCCCAAGACGCGGCTACCGCACAGCGCCCCCGGACCCGCAGCGGGGGCCCGCAGGAGCCCCGGGGCTCACTAGGCCTCAGGCGGGGGGGGGGGAGGGGGGAGCAGGCCGCAAACCTGGGCCCAACCGCTACCGGAAGGGATAAGAGGGGAAAGAACGACCCCTCCCCGCTCGGCGGTCCCGCACAGACCCTTTTGCTGCCGTTCCCGGCCAACGCTCAGGCGCGAGCCCCGCGTTCCCCAACCGCTCCCCCTCCGCCGGCCCCGAGCCCAATCGTCGCCATCTCAGTGCGCCGCCTCCGGATTGCTTTACGGCAGCGCGGCGTCCTTTACGGCAGCGCGGCTCCTTCTACGGCACCGGCCGCTGCGCGACACCGCGGTACCACCCGCTCCCCTCCCCGCCGTCTCCATGGCGACGGAGGCCGCGCCCCCTCCCGCTGTGTTGCGGTCGGGTCGAAGGTCGCCCGCGCGTGGCGCTGTTCTCACGTGACCGCCTGCTTCTTCCCCCCCCCCCCATCAAGTTACTGTAGGGTCGCCCGCTGTTACCGCACGGTGCCCCGCTGTGTTTTCATAGGGCCGCCCCGTGTGTCCCCCCTCCTTACTGTGAGGTGTTGTAGGGTCGTGTCCACGGTCCCGTTCCTCTGCTGTGTCACTGGAGGGTCATATTCCTCACCTGTTATTGCAGGGTCACCCCATGTTATTGTAGGGTCACATCCACCACCTGTGTTACCATAGGGCTGTCCCATGAGTCTCCTTATGTCATTGTAGGGTCACTCCTGGCCCTCCTTGTGTTGCTGTAGGGTCACTCCATGGCTTCCCCCATTATCATCTGACCATCCCATGTCATTGTAGGGTCACCCGGTGTCATTGTAGGGTCACAATTCCCCACCTGCGTTATTGAAGGGTCACCCCACGACCCTCATTGTGTAATTGTAGGGTCCTGTCCTCCCTTATGCTATTGTAGGGTCACCCCTGGCGCTCCTTGTGTTATTGTAGGGTCACCCATGGCCTCCCCCATTATCACAGGATCATCCCTTATGTTACTGTAGGGTCACATCCCCACCTGTGTTATCACAGGGCCGCCCCATGGGTCTCCTTATGTCATTGTAGGGTCACCCCATGACCTCCCCCATTATCATAAGACCATCCCATGTTATTGTATGATCACCCTGTGCCATCATAGGGTCACTTGTCCCCCCTACCATGTTACTGTAGGGTCACCCCATGTTATTATGGAATCCCCATCCCTTATGTTACTGTAGGGTCACATTCCCCACCTGCATTATTGCAGGGTCACCCCCTGGCCCTCACTGGGTAACGGTAGGGTCACCCATGATCCTCATTGTGTTACTGTAGGGTCATGTCCTCCATAACATTATTGTAAGGTCACCCCACGACCCTTGTTGTGTTATTGTAGGATCACGTTCTCCCCTTATGTTTCTGTAGGGTCACCCCCAGCCCTCCTTGTGTTATTGCAGGGTCACCCCATGGCCTCCCCCACTATCATAAGACCATCCCATGTTACTGTATGATCACCCCGTGTCATTGTAGGGTCACGTGTCCCCCCCACCATGTTGTTGTAGGGTCACCCCATGACCCTCATTGTACTATTGTAGGGTCACATCCCCCACCTGCATCACTGTAGGATCACCCCACGACCCTCACCGTGTTACTGTAGGGTCATGTCCTCCCGTATGTTATTGTAGGGTCACCCCACAACCCATGCTGTGTTATTGTAGGATCACGTCCCCCTTATGTCACTGTAGGGCCACCCCACGCTATTGCAGGTCACGCTGCGTTACTGCAGGGTCCATGAGCTCTGCCATGCGGCGGCGCCGCGGTTGCCATCACCTTTATTGGGGCCGTGGCGGCCGCTCACCGCCTGCGGGTTGTCCCCATGCGTGGGGACAGCGCTGTGGGGTTGGGGACAGGAACGTCCCCCCCAGCCCGGCACCCGACTCCTCCTGCCCTCAAAGCGACGTCCCATCGCCACGGGGACATCGGGGACATCGGGGACACCGCACCCAGCACCGCACCCAGCACTGCTCTGCGGCCCACGCAGCCACACGCCCGTCCTTCGTCCTCATCATCCTTGTCGGGCGTTAATGACCCTAATTAATGAGCTGGGGGCTGGCCTCAACGCTCAGCAGCGGGGAGGGGACATCGCTGTCACATCACGTGGCACTGCTCGCCAGTGGCCTCGGGCAGAGTCAGCCCCTCCAGGTCCAGGTTGAAGCCAGGGGGCTGCAGGCGACAGCAGGGATGGAAGAGAATGGGGACAGCTCAGCACCCCAAGAGGTGGGACGTCCCCAAGGGGCATCGTCCCCATAGGGTGCCCAGACCTTCACGGAAAGGGAGGGGACAGCTGGGGACAACTGGAGTTGGATGGAGATGGAGACAATGAGGGACAGTTGGGGACAACTGGGGGCAATTACTGTGGACAGCTGGAGACAGAGGAGGGCAATTAGGAACGGCTGAGGACAATGAATGCAAACTGGGGACAATTAGAGACATTTGGGGGACACCTGGGGACTGCTGGGGACAGTCAGGGACTGCAAGGGACAACTGGAGACAGCTGGGAACTGCTGGGGACAGTTGGGGACAACTGGGAATGGTTGGTTGAGGGACAATCAGGAACTCGTGGAAATGGGTTGGGGACAACTGGGGGGCAGCGGGGGACAGCTGGAGACAGCTAGGGACAGCTGGGATGGCTGAGAGTTGGGGACACCTGGGACAATTGGGGACACCTGGGGACAACCAGGGAGGGTTGAGAGCTGGGGACAGTTGAGGACGACGTAGAAAGGACCTCTGGGGACAGCTGGGGACGCTCTGGGACACTCACCGCCTCGCCAGCCAGCTCCTTGGGCGGGTGCCCCAGCTCCTGCAGCTGGAGGAGAGCAGCGCTCCATCAGCACCCGCTGCCAGCCCCCGCACCCCCCGTCCCCCCCACTGTGCCCCCAGGTCCCCACCTGCTGCATCAGCTCCAGCACGGCCTCGAAGCGCGCCCGCCTGTCCCCCTCGCTGTCCTCGGGTCGCTCAGCCTCCAGCTGCTGGCAGATGCGGCCCATGACGCCGTGCTGTGCCCGGTACCGCTCGTACTGCTCCTCCGGCAGCGCCGCCCGGTGCCGCTGCAGCCACTCGGGGTACTGTGACAGTGACAAGTAGGTGCCCCTGCTGTCCCCAGTCCTCCCATCTGTCCCCATCCCCGTCGCCAGGACCCTCACCCTCCAGCTCCCACCGGCAGCACCCCACGATGCGCCCCAGCACTGCCTGCTGCAGCCGCTCGGGGTGCTGTGACAGTGACAAGCAATATTGTGTCCCTGCTGCCCCCAGCCCTCCTGCCTGTCCCCATGTCCCTCCCCCAACAGATGAGCCCCATAACACTGTGCTGCTCCTCCAATAGTGCCACAGCAGCACTGCTTGAAGTACTGTGACAGTGACAACAAATAGGTGCCCTGCTGTCCCCACTGTCCCCAGTCCTCCCATCTGTCCCCATCCCCATGACCCTCACCCTCCAGCTCCCACCAGCAGCACCCCACGATGCGCCCAGCATTGCCTGGTGCCGCTGCAGCCGCTCGGGGTGCTGCGACAGTGACAAGGAGCAGCCTGTCCCCGCTGTCCCTCACCTTGTCGGTGATCTCCTTGAGCGATGGGTAGAGCACATCACGGCTCAGCAGGTGCTGCAGCACGCTCTGCACCACGGGCAGCATGCCGCCCTCCCCGCTGCCCTCCTCCAGCCCCAGCCCTTCCATGGCCTTCGCCAGATCCTCCTCTGACGCTGCCGAGCCCTGCGGGTGACAGTGGGGACATTGGGGGGACTCACATCTCTGTGTTGGTGTCCCTGAGCCTTGCAGGGACGTGGGGACGTCGGTGACACCAGGGATCGGGGGACAGCCCTCCGTATCCCCAAGTCCTGTGGGGATGTGGTGACATCAGTGACACCAAGGGTTGGTGACATCGGTGACGTCAGGGCTGGGGAGAGCTCTCTGTCCATGTCCCCAGGCCCTGTGGGGATACAGTGACATCAGTGACACCAGGGACCAGGTGTCACCCTGAGTTGGGGACATCCTTCATTCCACGTCACCAGGCCATGCAGGGACATGGTGACTGACACTGGTGACAGCAGGGGTTGGTGACACCCCTCCATCCATTCCCTGGGTCCTGCAGGGACACGGTGATATTGGTGAGACCACGGGTTGGTGACATTGGTGACACCAGAGATCAGGGTTGGGGACAACCCTCATTCCACGTCACTGAACCATGTGGGGACGCAGTGACATTGGTGACACCAGGGGTTGGCAACATCAGGAACTGGGGTTGGGGACAGCCTACTATCCGCGTCCCCAGGCCCTGTGGGGACGTTGTGACATTACTGAGACCATGGCTTGGTGACACGGTGACACCAGGGCTGGGGACCCCCGTCCCCGTGCCCACCTGCAGGTCGGTGGCGTTCCGGGCCAGGCCGCTCAGCGTCTCCTTCAGGCACGAGGTGAACTCCTGCTGGGATGCAGCGTCACCGCCTGCGGGTGGGACGGGGTGGGCAGGGGCTGTGGGACCCCCACCTTCCTCCTCCTTCCATCCCATAACCCCTGAGGGACTGCAGGACTCCCACCCGCTCTGCTCCTCCCATCCCATAACACCCCCAGTGGCTGTGGGTCCCCCAACCGTCTCATCCCATCCCATAACTCCCCCAAAGGGCTGCGGGACCCCAATCTCCCCTCCTCCCACCCCATAACCCCTATTCCCAACGAGGCCCAGGTCCCATTGTCCCCATTACGGACGGCCTTATGGGGGTGGCCCAGCCCCCATGACAGAGTGTCCCAACCCCACAGGGAGTCCAGGCCAATGGGGGCAGACTCCCCAGCCCTATATGGGGATTCACAACCTCAAGAGAGACCCCATGGAGAAGTCCTGGTCCTACATGGGGGTCCCAGCCCCATGGAGGGTGGGGGGGGAGGGGGCAGCCCTATAGAAAATTCCCAAGCCCCATAGGGAGTTTTAGCCTAATATAACAGCTCCCAGTCCCAGCTCTCTATGGGGACTCCCAGCCCTATGGTGGGGGGAGGGGGTACCAACCCCATGGAGTGATCTCAACTAACTGGAGGGGGGGTCCTGGAGCTAGAGGGGGGAGGTTCCCAGCCCCATGGGGGAGAGAGGGGGAGGGAGCTCCAGCACTATACAGGGGTTCCTCAGCCCCACATGGGTGTCCCAGTTCTCTATGGGGGTTCCTAGCCCCATGGTGGGGGGGGGGTACCAACCCCATGGAGTGATCTCAACTAACTGGAGGGGGGGTCCTGGTGCTAGTGGGGGGAGGTTCCCAGCCCCACTGGGGAAGGGGGGTGAGGGGGAGGGAGGGGGAGGGGAGCAGCCCTATAGAGAGTTCCAGCCCTACACAGGGGTGTCCCAGCCCTCTATGGGGGTTCCCACCCCCACTGGGGAGGGACAGCCCTATAGGGAGTTCCTAAGCCCTGTTCAGAATTCCATTCCTACACAGAGGATCACTCGGGTGTCCCAGCTCTCTGTGCGGGTTCCCGGCCCCATAGAAAGATTCCCCCACCGCAGAGGGATCCCGGCCCCCCTCCCTCCCCAAACCTCACCGGCCCCCCCACGGACCCACTCTCCCCGCCGCCTCTGACAGCTTCTGGAACTGCTCCACCAGGTGCGGTTCCTCCTCCGCCAGCTCCTTCATGGCGCGCTCGAACTCAGCGGACGCCTGCGAGGCCAATTCCCCATCAAACAGCTCCTGGAAGAAGCGCTCCTGCGAGGCGAACAGCGACTCCTGGGGGGGGCACACAGAGCGGGGGGGTCAGAGCTGTGGGGAGGGGTCTGCCCAGCCCCCCACCCCTCAGCCTGGATGTGGAGTAAAGGTGCACCTGCGCTGCGGCGCCGGGGGGTTTCTCAGTGGCATTGGGGTCTCCGGGAACGTGGGGCGGTGGGGGGGGGGCGGGGGGGCCGGGCCGGGCCTTCTCGAAGTCATCGAGGGCACCTGGTGTGGGGGAGGGGGAGGCACAGTGAGGGGGTGACTCCCGGCCCCGCAGAGCCCCCCCAGCCCCACTGTGCCCCATAACTCTGCCAGACCCCGCCGCAGCCCTGTACCCCCCTCAGAAGCAGCACATCCACTGCACCCCAAGACCCCCCCAGCCCACAGCCCCCCCGCACCCCTCAGACTTCCCCCAGTGTCCCACAGCCCCCCCCAGTGCCGCAAAACCCCCCCAGACCCCCAACCCCCAATTTGCCCCATACCCCTAGCACTCCCCATGCCCCCCTCAGTCCCACAGCAGCCCCCAAACTGCTTTGAACCCCAATCACCCCCACCCTCAGCACCCCATAGCCCCCCCAGGCCCCACTGCTCTTCTAAAATCCTCTAAACTGCCCCAAATCCCACAGAACCCCACAGCCTCGTAGAACCTACGGCCATCCCCCAGAGCCCCATAGCCCCCCACAGCCCCCCCAGACCCTCAGTGCCCACAGCCCTCTGCAGACCCCCATACCCCCAAGAACCCCCATCCCCCCCGCACCCCCAGGACTCCCAGTGCCCCCCCGCCCCCCCAATACCCCCCAGTACCCCCAGGCCCAATAGAGTCCCACAGCCCCCCCATATCCTCAGTATCCCCGACCCCACAGCCCCCCCCCATAACCCCGGTACCCCCCAGACCCCACGGAGCCCCCGAGCCCCGCTCACTCTCCAGCAGCTCCTCCAGCTCCGGGTCCGAACCCGGCCCCGGCTCCGCCGCCATGTTCGCGCCGCGCCACCTCCGGAGGGATGGGGGGCGTGGCCTCGTAACCCCGCCCACTTCGCGCGACCACCCCCTCCGCCAAGCCCCGCCCACCGCGCGGCCGTGCAGCTCCATCCCCTGCGCGGCCGCAAGGGGGCAGCACAACTCAGCCCCGCGCTGCGGCGCCCCCATGCGGCCGTTATGCGGAACTGCAGCGCAGGGTCCGTCGTGGGGGCGGGGCTTATGCTTTATGGGCGGGGCTTCGTGGGCGGGGCTACGGGCTGGGAGAGCCCTATAGGGGGCTCTGATGGAGTCGATAACACCCATTTTCCGCGAGGAAAAGGTTCCAATTCCACGTTGCAGCCCCAGAAGCGGTGGTTTGAGGTTGGGCGCGGGGGGTGCCAGGTGGGAGGATGGGCTCAGGATTTGTGCTGCAGCGTTTCGTGCGTCTCCTGGTGCTCAGTCCCTGTGTGGGAGGGGGGGGGTCAGGGTTTGCGTGCATCGCCTCCCACCAACCTGCGCCCCGATACGGGGTTACCCAGTGCTAGGGGAGAACAGTGCAAGGTGGCAGGAGCGCTGCCCCCACCCTGTCCCCATCTGCGTCCTTATCCCCATTCCAGTTCCCATCCCACGCCCATGTCTTCCCCTCAGCACACCCTCTGCGTGTCACCGCACAGCAACGGTCCCTCAACCTGCCTGCACTGGGTTGAGCTTTACGGACGACTGCGCTCAATGGCTCCTCCCACTCCCCATAGCACCGAAAAATGGTCCCTCCCACCCCCCATAGCACCGCACAATGGTTCCTCCCATTCCGCCCGTTGCGCATGCGCCCTGAATGCCCCCGCCATGCGCTCGGCTCAGGCATCCCGCACATGCGCAGTACAGCACGGCACCACCCACCTCCCTCCATCCGAACCGCTGAGCGCAGAGCGCTTCCTATTGGCTGCACGGCCCGCCGCTCGGCCTCTGATTGGTCGCGGCGGGCCGGTAGGCGGGGGCAAGGCGCCGCGGCGGCGGAGCGAAGCGCCGCGTCCATGTGAGGCGGCTCCAGAACGTTCCGCCGCCGCTCCGCGCCTCCGGCCGCCGCCATCGCCGCCGCCATGATGGGCCCGCGCCCCGTGCTCGTGCTCAGTGAGTGCCGGGGGGCCGCGGGGCACCGGCGGGATCGCGGGTGGGGCGTGCGAGGGGTGGGGGGGCGGCCGCCTCATCCCCGCCGCCATCGTCCGCCGCCATGTTGGATCCTCGGGACCGGGGCGGGGGGGAGGGAAGGTCCTGGAAGGTGAGAGAAGTGCGGGATGGCAGGAGGGCGGGTCCTGGAGGGTCAGAGAAATGGGGGATGGTGGGGTGGTGGGGTTGGGCGGTCCTGGAAGGTCAGAGAAATGCGGGATGGCAGGAGGGTGGGGTTGGGGGGTCCTGGAAGGTGAGGTTATTGTGGGATCGCAGCACAGCTGGTTTTGGAGGGTCCTACAGAACCATCTGGTCGCACAGTGGTGGGGTTGGGAGGGTCCTGGAAGGTTGTACAACCCTGGAATGGCAGAACAGTGGGTTTGGGGCGACTTGGAAGGTTGTAGAACAATGGAATCACAGAATGGTTGAATTGGGAGGGTCCTGGAAGGCCACAGAACCATGGGATGACACCGTGGTGGGGGAGGGAGGATCCTGGAAGCTCAGTGGAGAACAATGGGGTCACAGAATAGTGGGGTTGGGAGGGTCCTAGAAGGTCATACAACCATGGGATCACAGAATGGTTCAGTTGGAAGAGTGGTGGAACCATGGGACACAGAATGGTGGGATTGAGAGGGTCCTGGAGAGACACAGAATCACGGGACCACAGAGTGGTTGGGTTGGGAGGGTCCTGGAATGCCATAGAGCCATTGGATGCCTTGGACTGGGAGGGATCCTAAAAGTCACAAAGCCATGGAAGCACACAATGGTGGGGTTGGGAGGGTCCTGGAAGGCCACAGAACAATGGAATCACAGAATGGTTGTATGGGGAGGGTTCTGGAAGTCCCAGAATTGGAGAACCACAGAATTATGGGGTTGGGAAGGTCCTGGAAGACCATAAAACTATGGAACGGCTTTGGTTTGTACCTTAAAAATCACAGTGCCAAAGAGCTGAAGGGATCCTGTAGGTCCGGAACACAGAATCACTGTGGTTGGGTTAGAAGGGACGGGATGGGATGGCAGCTCTTAGCTCTTTGTGTCCTGTAGGTCAGAATGTGAAGCGGGAGTCTGGAAGAAAAGTCCAGGCTGGGAACATCACTGCTGCAAAGGTACTGTGCTCTGAGGTCACTGCTCCTGGTCAGCGAGTGTGTGCGTGTGTGTGTGCACGTGGGAGTGGAAGGAGTGGATGAAATGGGTTTTCAGCATTGAAAGCAATAAGTGGGACGTAACTGAACGTGAAGGGGGTTGGACCCGTTGAACCTTTTCCTCTGCAAAATCTGAGCGGGTGCAAACGTGGGGTCGGTGCTGGGCGGCGCTCGGTGCGGCGCAGGGCTCCTCTGAGCGCCGTGGGGTTGGAGCTGTGCTGCAGATTGCAGGCTGGGCGTGGGGAGATGTGGTGTGTGGTTTCCTGGAGTGCTTGTGTCCTCCTCGTGTCCCCTAATTCCCACTGTCCCCCACAGACCATCGCTGACATCATCCGGACGTGCCTGGGGCCGAGGGCGATGATGAAGGTGAGTGCTGCTGCCGTCCCCGTGCTGCACACTGACTGATGCTGCACGTAGGGAAGTCGTTACCAGCAGTGCTCATCTTTGGGTTGCAGATGCTTCTGGACCCCATGGGAGGCATTGTGATGACCAATGATGGCAATGCCATCCTGAGGGAGGTGAGTGCCTCTGGGAGGGGGGGTGCAGCAGTTGGGGGTGGGGTGGGGTTAGGGTTGAGGTTAGGCTGTGTTCTCTGCATTCTCCTGTTTTTTTTCTGGAGCATCAAGCAGCAGCCATGGGGTTCTCACAGGGGGGCACTGAATGATCCCATACAGCGCTCCTCCTCCCGAAAGTGGGTTTGGTCCTCCTCTGAAAAGTTTGGTCATGGTTTGGTCATGGAGCGGTCACTGAGCTTCTGTAGGACCACAGGAGTTGTGCCCATTGCTGTTGTCATCGTTTGCGTCGGAATCTGAGGAGTCCATGCTTTGTTTTACTGTCCTGGATAATTAGACCAAGAAATTGTTGGGTTTGTTTTAGTGCGAATGGCCCTGGAAGAGCATATTTAGGGATTGGAAAGGGCTGAAAAGCTGGGGGAGAGGAATGTGTGATTCCCTTAGAAAAGAGAAGGGGTTTTGTGCTTGGGAAGGGGAAAGGAATTTGTTTCCTCCCAAAAGGAAAGAAAAGCCCTGCGCTGCAGTTGTGCAGCTCTCTGCTCGCTGGGAGCGGTGCTGAGATCCCCAGAGCACAGAGCAGCATTTACCCCCCAACAGATCCAAGTGCAGCACCCCGCTGCCAAGTCCATGATTGAGATCAGCCGCACTCAGGACGAGGAGGTCGGGGACGGGACCACGTCTGTCATTATCCTTGGTAAGGGGGGGAAGATGTGCATAAAACCTAACCTGAGCTTTATTGTGTGCTTAGCGCAGCCCGGTGAGAACGCCTTGCAGAGACACATCTGTTATTTGCAGCCCTAAAACGTGGGGTTGGGGTTTTGAACCGAGAGCAGCAGTGGGTCAGAGCTGTTGGTGGGGCTCAGTGCTGGCAGAGCTGTGAGAAGTGCTGAGCACAGTGAGAAGTGCCGATGCTGTGGGAGCATGGAGACCCCAACCCTAACCCCCTCCCCCCACCCACAGCTGGAGAGATGCTCTCTGTTGCTGAGCACTTCCTGGAGCAGCAGATGCACCCAACTGTCATCATCGGCGCTTACCGCAAGGCTCTGGACGACATGATCAACGTCCTGAAGAAGATCAGGTCAGTGCGCCTGGCTTAGGGAGCAGCTGAGCACTGTGGGCGTCCATAAAGGTGTGGGTCCCGATGGGATGCACCCATGGGTGCTGAGGGAGCTAGCAGACATTGCGAGGCCGCTTTGTCTTTGGTAAGTGGTGGGGATGGGAGACTGCCTGAGAAGTGAAGGAAAGAAGTGTCCCTCCAGCCTTCACAGAGGGCAAGGAGGAGGACCTGGTAACTGCAGAGCATCAGACTCCTCTCCATCCAGCTGGAGACCTGGATCCAACGGGGTCCCTCAGGGTCGGTGCTGGGATCAGTGCTGTTCAGTGCACACAGCAGTGACTTGGCTGAGGAAATAGAGTGCGCTGTCAGTTTGGTGATGGCACAGAGCTGGAGGAGAGGCTGACGCGGCAGAGGCTGTGCTGCCATCCGGGCAGAGCTGGGCAGGGAGAAATTGGATGAGGTAGAACAGGGGCAGTGCAGAGCCTCGTGTGTGGACAGAACGGCCCTGGGTGCCGGAATGGACTGGGAACTGGCCTGCTGGAGAGCAGCAGAGGGGAGAGGGACCCGGGGGTCCTGGTGGGCAGCAGGAGTGTGTCTATTGGTTACCCCTCTATTGGTTCTTAGGCTGTTGCCACGTCCCGCAGCAACTGGAGCAGTCACTTTTTGGAGCAGCTGATCTGGTGGTTGATCCGTTTTGCAATTCCTGCAGTGCAGGAGTGGATTTTTTATGCCACTTCTTCATATCCTCCCCATGCTCTGCAGGCAAAGCCACAAGGCGAAACGTGATGTAGTCCTGCTGCTGTCCCTTGCTCGAGCAGGAGGACGTCTTCTTCTGATAGTGAGCCATTGGAGGGTGCAGGCTGGGAGGAAACCAGTTTGATCAGCCCCTCCAGAGGCTGTTTGGGAATCCTGGTCCCCGTCAGGTGTATCTGATACCACCGTGGTATCATCCACCAGCATTAAGCACGGCAGGCAGTTCGTCCATTGTATCTTCTTGGTTGCTCTCCATTCTGTCCAGTTTTTCAGATACTTTTGCAAAGGCTGAAACACAAGCTCGTAGAGGGGTAAATGTAATCAAAGTCTTGAAGTTTATTGATCAGCTCATTTATAAGGGCTCTTTTTGCCCCTCTGCCATACGTGGCTGCCGACGTACCGGCGTTCCTTGTGCTGCAGTCCTTGTGAATACACACCACATACTTGGTGCACACCTGACTCTCAGGATCATGCTCTTGGTCTGGCCTTCGTAGTGAGGGGGATGGCACTGAGCTGCCAATCCCTGACATCTGTGCTTCTGTGGAGGTGGTGAGGAGGGCTGTGGGGTTCTGCGCGGCCCAGAGGGGTTCGCTTTGGCAAAACACAGAGCTGGGGGGGATGGCACACAATTACAGCTCAGTTATGGCGTGGAGCAATGCTCGGTTCGCTGCTCAGCCCTCCCTGTCCCACAGCACCCCGGTGGATGTGAACAACAGAGAGATGATGCTGAAAATCATCAAGAGTGCCATAAACACCAAAGCCATCAACCGCTGGTCCGAGCTGGCCTGCAGCATCGCTCTGGACGCCGTCAGGACGGTGGAGTTGGAGGAGAACGGCCGAAAGGAGATCGATATCAAGAAATACGCCAAAGTGGAGAAGGTGCGTCCTGAGCTGCTGCCCGTGTGCTGCTGTGCTGTGGGTGGGTGATGCTGGGGGGAGAACTCCTGGGGTCTGCTGCTCAGCGTCCTCCACGGCTTTTTGTTCCATCCTCTTTGGTGCTGTCTTGCCACAAGCTCGTATCATGGGCTGCGTGTGCTGAGTTGGCAGGGAGCGTCGCTTTGGGAGCGCAGCCGTGTGGCTGCTGTGGAGCAGGTGGATCTCTTCACGTTTCCCTTCTCCGTGTCAGATCCCGGGTGGCTTCTGCGAGGATTCGTGTGTGCTGCGTGGCATTATGGTGAACAAGGACGTGACGCACCCCAGGATGCGCCGCCTCATCAAGAACCCACGCATCGTGCTGCTGGATTGCTCGCTGGAGTACAAGAAAGGGGAGAGCCAGGTGGGCGGGATGGCGGGGCTGAGCCAGCCCTCATCCGCGTGTTGTTCATTGCAGGGGTCTCGTTAGCGAGAAGTTCCAGCCCGGGGATTGGGGAGGGGGAATGCTGAGCTCGGTGCCGGCTGTGAGCAGTGCTTCTCTTCCTGTGCAGACTGACATTGAGATAACGCGGGAGGAGGACTTCGCGCGCATCCTGCAGATGGAGGAGGAGTACATCCAGCAGATCTGCGAGGACCTGCTGAGGGTGAAGCCAGACCTGGTCATCACCGAGAAGGGCATTTCGGGTAACAGCACCACACCCCCTCCTTTTGTGGTACCCACTGTGGTTCTGGGGGCGCTGCCCACCCCTAACCGGGGCGCACAAACCGCTTTCAGACCTGGCCCAGCATTACCTGATGAGAGCCAACATCAGCGCCGTCCGCAGGGTGAGGAAGACGGACAACAACCGCATCGCCAGGTGAGCGCCGCCCCGCTGCAGGGGGCGGTTCTGGCACTGGGGGGCGGTTCTGGCATTTCTCACCCGGTGACGACCCTCCATCCCCATCTGTGTGCAGGGCCTGCGGGGCGCGCATCGTCAGCCGCACCGATGAGCTGCGGGAGGAGGACGTGGGCACCGGCGCCGGGCTGTTCGAGGTGAAGAAGATCGGAGACGAGTACTTCGCCTTCATCACCGACTGCAAGGACCCCAAAGCGTGCACCATCGTCCTGCGTGGGGCCAGCAAGGAGATCCTGGCGGTGAGTTCTGCCCTCCCTCCCTGGCGTCAGTCATTGCTGATGTTGTTGTGAGTGGTGGTAGTTCCCATCCATGCACGCTGCCTGCAGCCCAGCTGGTGCCCTGCAGCCCAGCCCGGCTCGTGTCCTGCAGGACAACACAGCTCGTGCCCTGCAGCCCAGCTGTGTCCTGCAGCAGCATTGTGCATTCAGTACTGATGTTCTTCCCCCCGCTGCAGGAGGTGGAGCGCAACCTGCAGGACGCCATGCAGGTGTGCCGCAACGTGTTGGTGGACCCCCAGCTGGTGCCAGGGGGAGGGGCTGCAGAGATGGCCGTGTCCCACGCGCTGACAGAGAAGTCCAAAGGCATGACGGGGGTGGAGCAGTGGCCCTACAGAGCGGTGGCTCAGGCGCTGGAGGTCATCCCACGCACGCTCATCCAGAACTGCGGTGCCAGCACCATCCGCGTGCTCACCTCGCTGCGGGTAAGGCACCTGCCTGCTGTGGGGGCAGCTCCTTTTCCCTGCTTCTGTGGAGCTATTCCTCTTGCCCCCCAGCTCCCGTGGGGGATGATCCTTCTTTCCCCAGCTCCTGTAGGGCACCTCCTCCCACCCCCCAGCTCCCAGGGGTCAGCTCGTCTCTTCCCCCCAATTCCCAAGGGGTCGCTTCTCTTGCCCCCGGGTTCCTATGGAGCTGTTTCTTCCTCCCTCTGGTTCCCGTGGGGCAGTTCCTCAGGCTGAGCCTGCAGCTCTTCAGTAGTTGCAGCATTCTCTTGCATGGTTGCAGTGCTGTAGGGGTTGGGAGGGACCACTGGAGACCCCCTTTCCCGCCTGCTTAAAGCAGGTTCCCTTCATCACTGTGCAGCAGAAGTGCCCCAGTGGGTTTGGGTCTCTCCAGCAGAGCCCTCCCACCTCTCTGAGCCCTGTTCCTCACACTGAGATGGAGCTCCCAGGTTCCACTTTGGTGGAAGGACCCATAGAATCATAGAATGGACCCCAAGGATCATCATTCCAACCCCTCTGCCTGCTGCAGCTGGCGGAATTGCGGTTGTACCGCAGTGTGAATGTGGACCAAGGGAGGAGCATACAGACTGGTGTAGGGATGGATGTATCGAGAGAGGGATGGATGGGGGCAGGGATGGACGGACAGACACACATTGGTTCTTGGGGTGGGCAGGGCTCAAACCTTCCTCTGTGCTGTGTCAGTGCTGAGGTTGGGAAAGGCGAGTGCTCACATTTCCCTCGTGCTCAGCAATGTCCCTGTCCTCCCTGCAGGCCAAGCACACCCAGGAGGGCAGCCAGACGTGGGGGGTGAACGGGGAGAGCGGAGCCCTGGCTGACATGAAGGAGTTGGGGGTCTGGGAGCCCCTGGCCGTCAAACTGCAGACCTACAAAACAGCTGTGGAGGTGAGGAGGGTGGGCAGGTGTTGCTTTGTCTCCTTCCGGAGCGGGGAACGTCACTGCTTGGTGCATGGATGAGTGCTGGGAGAGCAGCACAGCACGGCGCAGCTCGGCTCTGCTGTGCCTTCAGTTTCAGCCCAGTGTGAGCGTTTGCTCCCTGGGGTTGGGTCACTGCTGGGGGTGGTGCTGCCATCCTTTCCTGGCAGTTGGGTGGCAATGTTGATGCTGCAGCTGCTGCTCTGCGGGGTGAGGGCTGCCCGTGTGCTTCCATCCCTCGCTTTTTGCTCTGACCGGGCTGTGGGCTTTCCCTGCAGACCGCCATCCTCCTGCTCCGCATCGATGACATCGTCTCGGGACACAAAAAGAAAGGCGAAGAGCACAGCAAGGCGCCAGCACCCACTGAGGCAGCCCAGGAGTAGTGGGGCCGTGCTCCGTGGGGCCGTGCTCCGTGGGGCCGTGCTCCGTGGGGCCGCGCCTGCAGCTGCCATTGCCCCCATCCTGAGGCCGAGTTGGGGTAAAGGCCCCGAAGTTAATAGCCCAAAGTTTGGGGGGTGGGATGGGAACGTGGTGATGGGGACAGGGCACAGTGCCTGGGTACCAGGGGGAGGTGTTGGTGTTTAATTTAAGTCTGTCTGTAATTCCTTGCAGTTTGCCTCAACAATAAAAGGCGTCACGTCTTGGGGGAACCATTGTGAAACAGCTGTGAGCTGTCCCCGCGCCCCCATCTGCTCCCTCAGTCTCTCCCATCTGTCCCCCATCTCTGACGTGTCCTCGTGTCCCACGCCTGGTCCCCATCTCCCCTGCCCCACATCCGCTCCCCATTACCCCGTTTTCAGAGCTGCCTTAAATGCCGCCTTTGGCTCCCCGTACTGAAGTTGTTTTAGGGAGTTTTATCCCCGTTTTTCAGCAAGGCTCTGCGCTCGGCAGGTGAACGAAGCGGACCTGGGCGGAGGTGTTTCCTACCTCCTCAACTCGGCAGGGGAGCGGCTCCTTTAAGGGCGTCTTCTTGGGGGGGGCGCGGCGCCTTTAAGGGGGGGCGGGCGGGGGTTGGGGGGGCGGTCACGTGATGCGCTGCGCCGGAAGGAGAATGGCGGCGCCGGCGCTGGGCGCGCTGCTGCTGCTGCTGGGGGCGGCGGCGGTCGGCGGACGGGAGGTACGGGGGGGGGAGGTGGTCGGTCCGTCCGTCCTTCTGTCCGTCCTTTCCCCGGGGGGCGTTGGGGGCGCTGAGCTGGGGGGCGGTGACATTCGAGGCCCTTCGTCCTCCCCGACCCCGCGAACCGCGGGGCCCTTCCGTCCGTCTGTCCGTCCCTGCCTCGCTCCGTCTGTCCCTGCTTCTGTCCGTCTCTACCTCCGTCCATCCTCGCCTCGCTCTGTTCCTGCCTCAGTCCTTCCATCCCTGTCCTGCGTCCATCCCTGCTTCTGTCTGTCCATCCCTACCTCGGTCCGTCTGTTCCTGTCTCCATCCGTCCCTACATCTGTCCATCCCTACCTCCATCCATCCCTACCCCAGTCCGTCTGTCCCTCCCTTGGTCCATCCCTCCCTCAGTCTGTCCGTCCCTACGTCTGTCCATCCCTGCCTCCGTCTATCCCTCCCTCTGTTCATCTGTCCCTACATCATCCCTACGTCCATCCATCCCTCTCTCAGAACATCCATCCCTACCCCAGTCTGTCTGTCTGTCTATCCCTTGGTCCATTCATCCCTCTCTCTGTCTGTCTGTCCATCCCTGCCTCCATCCACCCCTCCCTTGGTCCGTCTGTCCCTACATCCCTACCTCTCTCCATCTCTGCCTTGGCCTGTCTATCCCTGCCTCCGTCCGTCCATCCCCGCAGGTGTCAATGCAGTACAACCCCGGCTGGAACGGTTCCTCAGTCAACGTTCTGCACGTGCGGGCGGTGGGGCGCAGCGACTCGCTGCACTACGTGTGGAGCAGCATCGGGGCCCCGTCGGTGCTGCTGGTGGCCACACGCAGCCCCAGCAGCGCCCTGTCCATCGACTGGAGCCGCCTGCTGTCCCCTGCGCCCGCCGGCGCCGTGTGGATCGAGCCGCCCGGCAGCGTGGTGTATGCAGCTGCTATTGTCTTCACCAAGGTACTGCTGCAGGGGAGCGGTGGAGCACCGAGTCTGCGGGGTGTGTGGGGTGGTGGTGGGCCCCCCCTCCCTTCTCCTGAATGATCCTCGCAGCCCCAGCGCCAAGCGGAGCTGTGCGGTGATGTGGGGTTGGGTGAGGAGGAGTCCCTGCTCTGAGATGCCTCAGCTGGAGCGCAGCGTTCAGAGGTGGAGTTCTCAGTGCAGGGGAGACTGTTGGAGCTGTTGGAGGGCCACAGAAATGAGGGGTGGGATGGAATCCCCCCCCCCAACTAGCGCAGGTGGGGAGCTGAGGTTGTGCTGCCCGGAGGGGAGAGCTCCAGAGAGCTGAGAGCTGCCTGTGGGATGGAAGGGTGGGAGAGGGATGGGCTCTGCAGCAGGGCGAGGGGCAGGAGGGGGAGGTGGTTACAGCGAAAAGGAGGAGGTTTTGGCTGTGCGGAAGGAGCTCTTTCCTGCGCAGTGGGGAGGCCGTGGCACAGGCTGCATGCATACAGAGGCTGTGGTGCTCCATCCCAGCAGAGCTGAGGTTGGGGATGGGGCTGTGAGCACTGGGGGGCTATGGGTGTCCCTGCTCACTGCTAAGGGGGAGCAGTGGAGCCTCTGGGGGTCCCTCCCAACAGTACTTCCACAAAGATGTGGTGTGAAGAGATGACATCCATAGCATCTCCTGTGCTGCAAACCAGGGGGGGTTCGGCAGGAGTGAGAGGGGGTCCTACATGTGGGGAGGAACAACTACATGCACTGGTACAGGTGGGGCTGAGCTGCTGCAGGGGGGCTCTGCAGAGGAGGTCCTGGGGTCTGGTGGTCAAGGACAGCGGTGTCCTGGTTCACCAACGGTTTGCCAGCATTTGACTGCAGGTTGCCCATGACCCAGCAGTGTCTCTGGTGGCCCCGAAGGCCAGTAGTGTCCTGGTTGACCAACAGATGACCAGTGGTTGACCATGAGTCAGCAGTGTCCCTTAGTGGCCAAGAAGGCTGACGCTTCCCTGGGGGCACTGCCTGCAGTGGGGCCAGCAGGGCTGGGAGGTGCTGCCCTGTTCTGCTCTGCCCTGGGGAGGGCAGCTGGAGCACTGGGCAGACTGGGAGCTGCTGGGAGAGCCCTGAGGAGGGTGCAGAGCTGACCGGGGCTTTGAGCACTGCGCGGTGGGAACAGGCTGAGACCCGGGGCCGTTCACCTGGGGAGTGATGGCTGAGGGGGATCTGAGCAGTGCCGGCGGATATCAGAAGAGCGGGGGTCCGTGCGGCGTTTCCCAGCCCCCTCCCCTTCCTTCCGCCCAGCTGTTTGAGTACAGCAAGGCCGATGCATCGGAGGTTTTCTACCCCACGTACGATCTGTCAGACTTCTCCTGGGACAGCATCAACCGGACCGTGAACCACACCGCGCTGACGGCCGAACTTCGGGGCGTCCCCACCTCCGACCCCAGCGGCAGCTTCTCCAACGGCAGCCTGGCGTTCCGGGTACGCCGGCGGGGCGGGGACACCCACGGACGTGGCGTCCTTCCAGAGAAGGGACGTCGCTCCCTGGCGCGGCCGTGCCGTCCCCCTGACCCACGTCTCCCGCAGGTGACGGCTTACGGAAGCGGCGGGCGCGACAGGGCCCTGCCCGGCCTCCTGCACACGGCCAACAGCTCCAAAGTGGAGTTCGTCCTGACTGGGGCGGCCCCGCGGGGCAACGGCTCGCGCTTTGTGCTGGAGGTGGCCACGGTGGAGGAGAGAGGGGCGGCATCCAGGCTGCGCTCGGTGCGCTCCATCGACGACGAATACACCCCCACCATCTTTGAGGTGAGTGCGGGGTGGGCGCCGCCCCCTTCGGTGGCAGGGAGGGCACAGGGGTGGTGTGGTGTCGTGTCCCCCAGCCCAGCTCATAGAATCATAGAATCACAAGGTTGGAAAGGACCTGTAAGATCATCCAGTCCAGCCGTCCTCCCATCACCACTGCTACCACCAGCACTAACCCACATCTCGCAGCTCCTCATCCAGGCGCCTCTCGAACACAGCAGGGACGGCGACTCCACACCTCCCTGTGCAGCCATTCCAGCATCTGACCGCTCTGAGAGAAAAAGTTCTTCTTAAGTCTAACCTAAACCTCCTCTGGTACAACTTGCAGCCAAACCCTCC